ACACATAGAGTAATATATTTTAATTCTGGCACCAGCCATTAATTGAGTCATTGACAGAATTATGTCATATCCACAGAAGAGCAAACCTAACTATGAAGATTTGAAAACATGTCATATGAAAAATTATCAAAAGAATTGAGGATGATTCACCTAGAAAAGGAAAAATTGGGAACAACATAGTTCTTCAAATATTTGAAAGTCTATTTCATGGAATATAGACACTACTTATTCTGTCTAGTTCTGGAGGGAGAACCAGAGAAGTTAGAGGAAAGCAGAATTTGACACTATACCTTTTCTAAAAATTATAGCCACACAAATATGAAATTGGTTGCTTTCCTCGGAAAGCAGTGTATAGCACACAGTATGGGGTCAATAAACATATCTAGAATGCTAGTTAAATAAAAGTTTGAAGAATGGGTCAAGATGACCTCAAACATTTCTTACAATTAATTTTTGTGGTCATTGGTGTTCTTCAAAAACATGGTTTCTGTATGTTGGCAGGAATGGAAACTAGGTTGCAGGAATTGAGGAGAGAATGCATGATGCCCAAGTGGGTATGAAACTTAAAATGTTATCCATGGAAGGAAACTGGAATGCAGTACTGGAAAGACACCAGGACAGGGAGTGGGAAGAGGCAGGCTCTCATCTAAGCTTTAACAGTGGAGGAGTTACCTGGATTTTAAAACTCCCTGAAGTTCAGCTTCCTCAACTGCAAAATCAGGGTACTGGAACCAATAACTGCAGTCTTGAATGTCTATATTTCTAAATTCTCAGGTGTTAAGTAAAGTATCCAAGGCATACATTAATACATTGAGTAACTTAAATATGTTTTGATTTAATAAAATATGAATGTTAAAATATGTTAATTATAGCGAATTTTAAGGAATTTTACTAGCATAAATAATGGATAGGGCAAAGAAGGGAGATAAAGTAGCCACTACACACACAGACACACACACACAAAAAAAACCCCAAGAATCATCTAGAAGAACACCAAATTTAAATCTACAGTTTATACTCCTGGGAAAAAGAACAAACATTAAGGAAAATAAATGCATTACATAAATAAAATGCATTATTTTGATATGTTTTTATGTAGACTAAACGATAATTACAACTACTGGTTTAACTATCAATGTTTCTATTCAAGTCAAATTCTAAAGATGATTCTCCAGACTGCTGGTGCCCACTTTAGTATGTTTGAGAACCACCATATACCAGCTCATACCAGTTCACAAGAGCCAGTTGTGCACATTTATTCCAACTTTGCAGTCAATAATGCCTAATCGGTAGCTTGAAATTGGCCGGGGCGATATTTACTCCACAGAAATCAGCAAATGCTACAAATCAGTACTTTCTTTTTATTTGGGGATCCAGTTGCTAAACATTTACCAACATACCAGGGCCCACCCACTCCTTGCTCCTAAGAAATTTGTTACCCAAACAGTGCCTTTTTCTTTTTCACTTTGATCTTAAAATATGTCAGGCCTTAAAATAAAATAACCTGTCATTTCTTTACAACCACTTTAATATGTCATTCATGCTTCAACATAGCAAGGCCAGAACTAGACAAATAATTTTAGGATATGTAGCATATGTCAGTCATGTGACATTGCTAGATGCAAAGTTATGATGTTTCCAAAATGTTTGATTGTCAATATGTATTTAAAAATCTAAAAGTTCATACAACACAGTAAATCACCCATTTGCTTACATCCTGCCAGTGGCCTCCATTGCTCAAAGAGTTTAATTCTTTACAGTGACCTTCATTTATATCCAACCTCATTTTGGACTAGCACTGAAACCCTCTCCCTCTTACTTCATCTCCTTCAACTGCTTAATCTTTTCTCTAATCCTATCTTTCTATCTTTATCTCACTCTCTTTCTCATATCCTCCATCTCATACTCCCTCCACTCCCGCCAATTATGGTTTAACTCTTACTTTTGCAGAAAACTCTTCTCTGGCCAGGCTGTATAAAGTGGGGCACCAGCCCTGCATTTATGATATATCTCATTAGCCTATTTATTTTCTTCTTATGCTTGTTCCCATTTGAAACTCTCTTACTTAAGAATTTGTTGACTTGCATTATCTATCTTCATATGGTTGACTATAGTATTCAGGAAACAGGAATCTTATCTGTCTTATTGACTGATGGATATTCAGACTCTTTAATAGCACTTGGCCCAGAACGGCATTAGCAGAAGGAAAGAAGGAAGGGAAGAGAAGTTAACACCTTGGTCTTGACTTGCAGAGGTTAAGTTACTGAAATACTATCATCCTTAATAGGCAGCTTCACTTATTAAAAAGTTCCTCTTCGTGGACCACAGTGAAAAGAAGATTTTTAAGTCCACTGTAGAAGTCAACCCAGCCAAAATCTGCAAATACAGTGCTGTGTTTTCAGGCATGAGCTATTTGCTGGAGTTTAGCCATCAACATATGAAAGGTTAGAACTTTGTGAAATATTAATACGTGGGCTTTAAAAACAAGGGCAATAATATTTATCCAAAGCATCAGATTTGTAGTCACTCAACTTTGTGAAGTTTTATGAATGTGTAACATATGATACTGGTCTGTATATTTGATACTTCAGGCTGAATGTAATGGATGGTGAATAAGGAAGCATCCAAGAAGGAAAGGGAAGAGAAATGAGCTTATTTCTCTAAAGGAATATCATAGAGCAAGACTGTTTGGTTTTATTCCTTTTGGCAGATCATTTGAAATAATTTGATACTCAGCCCATGGATTTGAAAATGTTTTTAAAGCACTATGTCAGCATCCAGTTAATTCAAAAATAAATTGTTTCTGAGGCTACTGCTGGTCGGTCTAGGATAGCTACAGGATATACTCCTTTATCCAACATTAACTTAGTAGCTGGAAAATATCAAGATATGTTTTCTAAGGCTTTGAGAGGTGTTATTTCACTGGCTCCTGTTGATTTCATTATTATTATTATTATTGAAATTGTATTATGTGTACAGTGTATAACTTGATTCTATGTCTGCCAGGTAGAAAAACCTAATCTTGGTCCTTGAGAACGTTATAACCAAGAAATGAAAGACAATGACACAAAACCATATGCAGATAATAGAGACGCAAAGAACATCATCTTGCCAAACACAACTTTGGTTTAAAAGTAAAGAAAATTATATAACCAAACACATGGGAAGAGTAATTAGAGGGATTTAATTAATATTCAGTAGGATTTTTTCCATTTTCTGGCATATTTAGAAGGCAGTTAACCTAATAATATAATATTTAATATTTCTGGGATTCTATTTTAAGTTATCAGCAGGATTTTACTATAAATAACACTCCTTTGGATGTAACAAAGTTCTATAGCATTGAGAGATATGATATATAGTAAGGATCAAGTCTATTTGTTTGCAAATATAATGGACCCTTTTAAGCACAGTAATACTTTATGATGACAAAAGTTTGTAATTATCTATCAGAGCCTCATTAAATGTTTTAGACAGCAGGGGCAATGGAGGGGAAATGGAGTCATAACAAACAGTCAAATAGTTTTCTGAAGGAGTTAGCACATCTCAAAAAATTCTTAATTTATTCTCAAAAGAAATCTTTGTAAAAATAGGACTAGCTCTTCAATTTGCATTGATCTGTTAAACTAAGCACAAGTTCAGTTTACTCAAATAACTTACCTAGTGTTCTCTGACCAACTTAATCTAATAAAGCAGTTATTTGACTTCTGAAGATAATGCTTCAGAATTATCTTCTGTAGAGCTCTCTGCTCTATAGAGAGCTCTATAGAAATAGAGTAATCAAAAAGATGGGGGATGCCTTTTAATGGCGGCGGGAGAATTTAGAAAAATTAAAAGAAATGCCAATAAATAAATAAGTGGTCTGATTCACACAGTCATCGCTTTCATCCCACCACTAACTGTCACCAAAGCAAAGCCCCCAACCTGCTACCCTTGTACTGCTAACCCTCAGACTTCTGTCAACATGTATTTTCTTTTTGAGGTCCTTTTGAAGTTGATTTTGCCCAGTTAAATAACTCAGACAGATGGAAGGTTGGCAGCATGAGCCAAAAATGATGCTTTGCCTCAAATGGGTCAGCTCTGAGTCCATGACATCCCTCAATAGATTTTGCTTTTGAAGAACCTGTGCTTTCTCTGGTTTTTATTTTTTTTCCCCACCAATCCCCTACCCAACCCTGATACCTTACATAATACAGGGAATTTGGAAGATTCCTAATAGTAATTGACTTGATTTGAACACACAATAATACAAAAGGCATGCACAAGTAACTCCTTATGGTTAATGAGAAGCATTAGATACTAAAATAAGCACAAGTATTTCCATAAGTGTATGTCCATATTGTAGAGAATTGAAAATAGGTAAGCATGGTCATTTACAAAAAATATATATTGTTGTAGGAACTTTTTGCAAAAGGGTGTGAAAGAAAAAGAAACTTGAGACAAGAAATATTTTGGCAAGGACACAACTTAAAGCAGCAATGGATAAATGCCCCCATGCAAGGAAAACTGCCCCCTGCATGAACTGAAAATGTATCTCATTTGGGTTCTTTCCCATTTTTTTACTATCCTACAGAAGATTCTTCCAAAAATATTCTCTCATGTGCATTTTTAAATGTCTAACCACAAACAATTATTAGTATCTTACAAATAATCTCTTTGTACTCTGAAAAAAAAAGAGTAATGTATAAATTTTCTCAAGAATAATTAATTGAAAAGTAGTAAATATATGTCACTACTCATTGCAGTTATACTTCTTTTTCATTGCACTTTGCTTTGTGAGATATATATTTAATATTCATGTCAAATGCTTTCTTGGCACTAGATCAGTATCTTCTCAATGAAGAGCCCATTGATGATGCAGAATAGAACTTCTCTTTGCCCTTGAGTAAAAGACTGCCTATTATCCAGTGTCCCTTTTGTCACATTGAAGAACAGGGAACTTTTTATTCTTTCCAAGAAATGGCTTTTCAGATACAGTAACAACATGTTCTGTTCCTCAGGAAATCAGAGAAGATCGAGATAAGGCACGGCTGGACTCCATGGTGCTGCTAATTATGAAACTGGACCAGCTGGATCAGGACATCGAGAATGCTCTCAGCACCAGCTCTTCCCCATCTAGCACCCCGACCAACCTGCGGCGGCATGTTCCTGTGAGCTTTCCACTTTTCACTTCTTTTTCATGAGAATCATGTCCCTACTTTGCACAGTCCCTCTTGTAGAGAAGACATCTTAATGAATGGAATCTACCAACATATGACCCTAATAGAGCCCCTTAAACATCACTCAAATACTTCTGTTTCATGCAGAAATTCCATAGAGAAATGGGTGATACAAAAGAATATGTTTGTCATGAAACAGGAAGAAAGGTCATATTGGAAAAATATGCTTCTTAGTGATCAAATCTTCTGTGATTGTCAGACTTCTCTGATATGATATAAACTCCATTAGCAAGTACCGTGTCTATCTTGTTTAGTAATCTATTTTCAGTGTCCCACAAATTTACGTTGCATGTAGAAGATGCTTAATATAATATATATTTGCTACATGGATGGATGAATAGATGGATGGATGCATGGATGGATAGATGGATTATGGATGAATGAATGCTCATTGGACTAACCAAGAATACTGTAAGGAAGAATTAAGATGAGATCAACTTGAAAACACTCTAAAATTCACTCAGCAAAATACAATAAATAGGACAAAGCTGAGAATTTTATCCTATGCATCAATTTTATATAAGAGAAACACTCCTCTGAGAGTCTGATACTCAAAAAAATTTGGAAGACATAGATTCCAGGATTGACTATACATTTTACATATTTAATATTAGCTTCATATTTAACAGCTTAGTTTGTGCAGATTTAGCAAATGTGATAGTAGAGTTTACTTATGATTAAGCCATGAATCCTTTTTCAATTCAACTATTACTTATATTATATGATAATAAATATATTGAGTCAAAAAATTTATATTTACCTGAGAGCAAAGAGGTGGGAAATCATATATATAAATTTGAACAACTGATGAAATAAAACTATACAGTATCAAATTATTTGATTAGTATAGTTCTACTGTTGATTCTTAAGTGATTCAAAAATTATTCTGACTATAGGGCAGAATATTTTGAAGTAAATAAACAGATTAAAATGATAGATAAGTTTAGTATATAGTAGGTACTATTCTAAGTGCTCTACATATGTTAACACTTTCATTCATATGTTATGAAGAAATATTCTTCATAACATTTTTTAGATGAGTAAAACACATAGACTACTTGTAATTGCATGTGCCAGAGCTGGCATACAAATCCAGCTAGTCCTAATCCAAAGCCATGTCATTCAACTACCATACCATACCATACTGCCTTCTCTAGCTAATTATAATGGGAATCTTATAGCTTAAGCAAAATATAATAATAATTAATTGAAAACAAATAAATATGAAACTAAATACTTCAACCTGGAAATCTAGTAGAAATGAAAATTTTATTTCTGTTTATAACCTTCTGGATAATTTTTTTTTTATCCTTCAGAATTAATTGCAAATATCTTTACAGTGAGTCTTCCCTAAATCCCTGGTGCTGCCATGGTATCTTGCACATGCCTTAGTTTTAGCAAGTAGAATAGGCATCCAAATGGAGGAAATGCAATTAAAGTAATATCCTGAAGGCAAAGAGTGTATAGAAGCTTCACACTCATTTTCATCAGTACTTTTAAAGCCAAGAGTAATCATATTTTTAACAGGAGGTATGATTTAGTACTTCTTTGCCCTTAATGTAGGCATGGGATACATTTTTTTCTTTAAAAGTTTCTGGTGTGAATTGTTGATCTCTTTTCTTTTAAATCTCTCCTCTTTTCCCTTTATGTTCAACTAAATCCCCATGGATTTAGAGGAAAGACATAGGCCAGATTTCTGCTAAACACAACTTCCTGCTGTCATTTCCATCTCAGAAAACAAGACAGCCCTTACCTATTAGATGGAGTTCTTTGTCGAGGGGCAAAGGCAAAGCAAAAAACAGAAACTGACATAGGTGATGATTTTAGGGGTTGTCTGCATCCACACCGTCTGCTTCCATTTAAATCAGAAATTGGATTTGATATTGCACACACTGTCTCGTGAAATATCACCACTATTGTTGGCTCTGTAAATAGAGATATATTTGGAATAGGCAAAATAATACAGTGGAAACATTAAGAACTTTGGAGTCTGCAGGTCTGGGTTCAAATGGCAGCATTATAACTGACTATCTGGGAACATAAGAAAATTATTTAATTTCTCAACTTCAGGTTCACATAAGAAACAGAGATATTATTTCCTAACTCATGGCTTATTGGGAGGAAGAAATGAAAGAACGTAAGATGTATTGCACAGATCTAGCACAGAACACATATTTAGTAATTGTTAATTCCCTTCCCTCCTCCTGTACTGTACTCACTCACACCAAGCATTGGGCTAATGATGGGTAAGGCATATTTCACAGCCCTCAAAACTCCTTTTTGATCTTTATGTTTTTCTAGGTCATCCCTTGTTCTTTATTTCTGTTCCTTGGTATTTAAAGCTAATTTTAACATTCTTTCATCATCAAAATTTTTTCCACAGGCACTTTCCACTTCTTTTGATAATTGTCCCATGGAATAAAAGGATTATGATGGCATAATTGTGACCTTGATCATCCACCAAGGAGTACTGTCCCAGATTCAGAGGGCAAACTGCCTCTGCCCCACCCTCAAGGGCCATTGTGAATGTGGAGTTTAGCTGGAAGGACAAAACAGACAATAGAACAGTGATCCCCCCTCCCCCAAATTTCAGAATATTTATAAGACAGTGCCAGAACAAGTTCTACATATAATACAGAGTGTAAAGAATAACATAGGCTAGAGTCTTTAACAATGACTTTAACATGAAAATAGTATATTAAAATAAGGGTAGAGATAAAGATTTAAAGGAGGTTGCCTAGGTAGAGGCTTACAAGTTGGCTGTACCTTGGTGGATCCACCACAGCCCAAGTTCTATTTTGTTTTCTTTTGTTATGTTTTTTTCCTTTGCATGTTTTATTTTGTCTAGGCATCCACAGTGTGCCCATGTGTTAGGGCTGGCTGAGATAGCCAATCTTACAGAATGAACGGGAATGGGGGATAAAGACATTAGTGAGTGTTAACCTTTATGTATGTTACTTTATTTTTCCTCTTGACAACCCTAACATGAGAAATCTGAGCTTCAGAGGGGATGAGTAAATTACCGAAGATCACACAGCTATTGAGATTTACTTCCAAATTTATGAGCCTCCGAAGCACAGGCTCACTCTGCTATATTACAAACCTTTCCAAGATGCAAATTTTTCCTTCAAAATGGGATAAGAACAATTCCCTTAACAACCAGAATTCCCTTGTCAGTCAGGATATTTTCTTCCCAATAACAAGATATTTTTGAAGTCTGAGTTTCAAATCAAAGATGTGTGGCTCCTGCTATCTAATGCTGACCCCACTGCCTCTGCCCTCATTCTCATCCAGTCCTATGCCCTGGCTTTGCTCCACAAATTATTTACTCTCTCTCTTAGCTTCAAATTCCACTGCTCTCTTCCTATTTGTTCTCATCCTTTTTCTCTTTAACATGTATGTATGCTGCATTGTCTCTACCACATGCCTATTAAATAAACCCTTCCTTTGTTTAAGCCTGCTGTGTTAGTGTATAGGGAGAAGATAAGTAGATGAGTAAGAGAGGTTATTCTTTTGTATTTCAGACCATTAAAAAAAAAAAAAAAAAAAAAAGCAAAAGCTTTGCCTGAACTTTCTTTCAGGTATTTCCCTAGCTCACCCCTTCCTTTATGAGCCAAGCTTTAGTCTCCTCTTCTTCACCTTGTATTTCTTCTTGATTAAATTCTTGGCTATTGCATTATCATTTTTCCACACCCTTCTCCTATCTGGCATATCCAGTAGTACCTGCCTGGTCTTTAGCTGCAACATCTGATATTGTCCAGCCTCCTCTACTCCTTAACTTTCACTACTTCCTTGGTTCCGGCTCCTCTCCTTCATTTTCTTCTATCTTCTCAACGGTTACTTCCCATACACTTCAATGGTTCCTTATCCTACCTTTGCCTCTTAAATCTTATATCCAGATTCTAGACTCAATTCTCCCTATTGTTTTACTCCGAATATTCTCCATGGGAATTTGCCATGGCTTCCGTTACCAGATTAAGGGTCACCAGTGAGGTCTTTTTTGTGATCTCCAGGTATGAATATCCAATGGATCACAAGGTGCACATTCCTTTGTGCCACAATTGAACTGTGTAAGCACCTCTGCTCCAGCACATATCACACTGGGTTCCTTCCCACAATACAAGCTCCTCTGAGATCTTTATATCCCTATTGCTGGGCATAGTTGGAGGCACAGCATAACCGTGATGCATGAAGCCTTTAAGAAGATGGTGTGTATGGTGAATTACACAAAGCAAAGTTGGGTTGCAGGGAAATTATTAGGTGGCAGCTGCAATGATAACTCAGGGCTTATGTACCACTTAGTTTTCTTATGGTAGTAGTGGAGAGGGAATGGATGTGAGAGAGCTTGAGCAAGCTTGTGTATTCTTTATCATAATGAGCAGAGGAAAGAAGAGAAAATAATAAAGACTTGCACTAAACTACACACTATGATCCTACTTAAATTACTTACTTAGTTGTGTTTTAGAACCCCAGCAGAACATCATTATGGTTACTTTATGAGGTTGAACTCCAGGGTCAGACAGACTTTTAATGCAAGCTCTGCCATGGAAAGTGACTTTGGTCAACTTACTTGTCTTAAGCCTTGACCCCATCATCTCTCAAGTGATGATAATGATGCCTCCCACAAAGGACTGGTGAATGCTAAAACAGATAATGACTATAAAGTATTGTCTGTGAAAGGCAAAAACACAACAAATGGTAGATTTTTAAAAATTTAATGTTTTATCTTAGAACCATTGTATGGCTACAAAAGTGAATGATTACCTTGTTATTTATCTAATAAATTCACAAACAGGGAGGCAAAATTAATGTGAAAGATTTCTGACATACATAAAGGTCAAATATAAATGGCTTATGAATTACCTGCTACTTATGACTATGCATTCAGTGTTTATAATTACATGCTAATTATGACTATCTATAGGATGTTGACACAATTTGAAATTTTAATGAATCACATTTTTATTAAGGTAAAATATTGTTTGTCTTTGCTATTTAAAAATAATAGAAGCACTGATCTAAAAATCACTCCAGACATCAGAAATTTGGTCAGTTATGTATTTCACATACCCACACATGCACAAAGAATGTAGTATTACTCTTTGTTTTGTATGTCTTCTGTACCCTTCAAAATGGAGAAAATTTAGTCTTAATGCTATTTCAATGCAATTTCATGGCAGAAACTACAAAACTACTTCTATTATCAGAACTAAGAAAGAAGAGATATCAATATTTGTCTGTCTAGTTTTTCTTTGATAAAACCATATTTAATGATCACCTTCTATGTGCCCGATGCTAAGATCTATGCTAAGATTTGGGGATGTATCAGTAAACAAGCAGGTGAAATCCCTGCTCTTGTGATGCATAGATTCTAATAAAGACAGACAAGGATTATGAAGAGAGGTGAATGAATAGGTGGATAAGTTGATAGGTAGATTGATAGATGATAGAAAGATAGGTAATAGATATAAATATTATGTGGTAGATAAACAAGGCAATAGGATTTTAACTAGAAAATGAAAGGAAGAAACTACTTTGGCTTGAAATGTCAACAGATGTTTCTCTGACATAGTGATGTTCAAGCTGAGACTTGAGTGACAAGAACCAGCCATCTAAGAGGAATACTGGGACAAGGGACAAGAAAGGACATGGGTCATAGTCCCTGCTATAGAAACCAGCTTGGCATATTTAGAACTGACAAGGAGCCAGTGTGGCTAGAGCATAATAAACAAGAGAATAGCAAAGCACAAGGCCAGAGTCAGGGGTGGGAAATGGGGAAGATGGTATTTAACCATGTGGACCATGGTAAAGCTGAGATATAGAAAGAGTAGACATAGAGATATTTAACTCATGATTTTCTCAGGCAAAATGCATAGAGTGATATGTACCTTTGCTCCCTTCCCTCTGCATCCTCTCTGCTCCCACCCATCCTCTGTGCAATCAGGTCACCTATAACTTAAAGAGAGCATTTGATAAATTAAATGCAAATCCTTTGCAAAGGTTATCGAGGAATTGCATCTACTTTACAGATGTGTCTTGACCTCATACTGTGTAGTAGTTGCTAAGAGGACATAATGATATTAATAATGACAATATTTATAGGAATGGCTAACATTTAATGAAAATTATGTATGCCAATTACATGGCACTTTGCATATATTTTGCTTAATCCTCATGAAAGTCTTTGAATGCATACTACTATTATATCCATTTTCAAATGAGGGAATTGAATCACATATGACATGACAAAGCATAATTCCTGCCCTCAGAGAGTTTATTGGATAGACACTTGAGCTAAATGATTCTAGGCCACCATTATAGGTGTCACCATGGAAGTCAAATGGAAACATAGAGGAGATTGAAGTGAGGAGAAACAAGAACCTTCTTCTTATTTGACATCCACAATGGCCCTGTGAGAAAGTCTGGGCAGCACTTTGTTGCCTGAGAGGTGTTAAGTGAGTTACTCAAGGTCACAGTGAGGAAGGTGTGTCTACCTGCTTTTACCTCCTAACTCTTACTGCAGTGTCCCAGCTACCTCCCACCACTGGGCCTCCCAGTTCACACTAAGCTGTTAAAGAACGTAGTATTACTAAGCTGTAAGCAGTATGTTACCTCTTTCTCAAGTATTTGTAGACCCTTTGAGAGTACAATTATTATTATAAAATAATGCACAATTGTGGGTTACATGTCAATGTCAATTGTCAACAACTCTTTAGAGAATCAGTATGTTGTTAGAAGGACAAAATGAAAAAGTGCTGGGGAGAGGGGGAAGAACATGTGGAGAACACTCACACATCCTTCATGCAAATGCATTTGTTTTTCATAGGATCTGGAATCAGGATCTCAAAGTGGAGCAGAAACCATTTCAGTAAATCAGACACAAGTAAATGTGTCTTCTAACACTGAGTCTACTGGCTTGCCATCTTCCACCCCAGCAGCCAATTCTGGAACCAAACCTAAGGCTACGGTAAGTTTTGAATGATAACCGTCATTCTCAACATGTTAAGTGTTATTGATTATCAGGTAAGAGGTGATATCTCATTCACTCAATAGAGAAGAAATACTCCTGGAGTCTTAGCTGCAGTGATTTGATGGTATTTAATTTATTTAATTTTGTTTGTTTTATAAATGATAACACAAGTACTTCACTACAATAGGTCATGGATCCACAATTATGCAAAACATGGTAATTCAGTTTTGTTACTGGATACTCAGAGCTTTAAAGAAACAAGTATGCAAAATCTGGAGATGGCTTTCCCTAGACTATTATTCTGATCACATTGCTTAACAGTCAGAAAACTGTCTCTCTAACCTTTGATGACAGGTAGATGATGGATGATGATGACAGGTAGATAATAAAGAGTAAGAGATATGATAGAAATAGATTTTAGATAGATACAGATGGCAGATAGCTAAAGAATAGAGACAGAGATATATAATCACCCACATCATAAATTTTACATGGGTATTAAATGACATAGCACATGTGAAGTGCTTAGTGAAATATTTGGCACAGAATAAGTACTGAATAAATGTAAGTTACTGTCATTATTATTATGATGCTACATAGAATTTAAATTGCTATCAAAACAAATGAAAAAGAAAAATACCACATGGAATAAAACAGCATGTAAATTGTGAATAAAAGACATTTTCCTTTAAGTAAAAAGTTGAACTGCAACAGGAAAAAAAGTATTTGACTCTAAAAGGTAACATTTAGGGAGGAAGTAATTACTACTTCAAATATCTAAAGTCCCAGTAGTTCCAAAATAACCTTTCCTAGTTTAGTGAAAATCGCAATGTCAATTATTTTTTTTTAAATGCCCATGTTAGCTTAACATAGAGAAACAAGCTTGGATTGCTTGTTTGACTGCCTTTAAAATAAAAGGCAGGTCTAAAATAGGACTCAACGGAGATCACTCTGAATTTAAAACATGATAGATTTGCTACAATTGCAAAAAGAATGAAAGTATACCATTTAAATGACAGATAATGCCTGACTTGAATATTTACATAGAAATTAAATTCCCTATTATTCATATCTAGAACATTGATGGAATAAGCATTTATTGAACATCTACTATATGCCATGCATTATGCTAGATGAAAAAGATTTGGAGAGGAATAAAGTGTATTTTCTATCATTAAAACAGCTTACATTCTGGCAAAGGGAGGTAGGCATATACAGTGAAATGCAATGAAATGCTGTGTAGAATATGGTAGTACTTATATATTGGGAATAGGAGAAACCTTCAAGATACTGCACAATGCTATTTGGGGATAAATAAAAACAACAGGGTCAACAATAATGTGTGCCAGTAGGCAGACTGCAATGAAACAAGGCTCTTCTTTTCCATTATGAGTAAAGAAGATTGAAATGCAAAACTAAAATATGAAAGCTGATCTCTCTTTACCATATTCTTATTAAGGAAAAGTACTTTTTAAAAACAATATGCTCTCAACAGTTTTGACTTGAAGGTTTTGAGAATCATAGTATTGGCTTTTATAACATCGGGGACAGGTGTGGGGCCCATTTTGTAAAGGTACTTATGCTTTAAATCAGTTTTTAAAGCACCTGCTAGAATCCTGCAGAGTATTTCTTTTCACCTTGATATTTGTTCCATGTTCAACTTTGACTTTAGAAAAATTCCAATAGTATCCACTTCTCCCTTGGAACATATGTATTTCAGTGTGTGAGTGCCTCATAATTTGTAAAAATATACACAACTGTATGAGTGGTTCCTTAGTCTTTCTTCAATACTCCCATGTTTATAAAAGTGGTCGATATAGTTACACAGACGTATATACATATTTTTTATGGGAACCATCTTTGGTAAAGTTTTGTGATGAGAAACATAAACTCATCAGATTTCCCAAAACTTTAATCCGTTAGAGTGATGGAGTCTTTGTTCAAATTTTCCATGTTTTGTCATATCAATTGACCAAACTATTCAACCCATAATCACAATTAAGAAATACTTAAATAACTTATTAAGCAGAAAAATATTTTTCTGTACTCCAAATCAAATATCTTCTGAAAATGTGTTAACTTTGAAGAAAATTGGATGTGAAGAGTAACCAGTTGTTCAGGTGTGACTTGTTGTCTAGGAGCACAATCAGAACTCCATAGTCGTACTGTAACCATTAACCAATGAGCAATGAGAATCATTATGTAGTTGATTCATTCTCCAAACACAATATTCCACTTTGAGACAACTAAAAACCACACAACAATCTTGACCAATACCACAGGTAGACTTAGACAACTGGACATGCAACTCTGTCCAGCAACTGAACTATAATTTTGTAAAATTCTCTAGCAAGCCATGAAACCTACCCGGAAAGAAATACTCCATTGTCAAAAACAACTAACTTTTAGGAAATTTCTTAAAGAAAATGGCCAATAATGAGAGTAGCTTGAAAAATAGGCTTTTGGTTTTTAGGGGGAAAGATTGTTTTAATTTGTGTGTGGCTTTTTATTTTTTCTTGTTATTGATGTTGCTATTCTTTTAGATATACTCCTTTCACTACAGTTTGAAAATAATTTCTGAGTTATGGATCAATTTTATGGCTGAGATATTAGAATAAAGAATTGTATCTATGAGGGAGTAAACAGATACTTTTCCTACAATTTCGAGCTTAGGGAATAAATAATATCTAATGGCAGTCTGAATACCTTGTGAAAAAAGAGAAAATTCTAGTATTCTACAGAGCTGTTCTTATCATCATGAGCAAAAATTTCAATCTTTATACTAAGTAGAAAGATGAAATTCTAGGAACATTCACCTAAAATGAAGTAGCCTTCTGTTCCATAAGGTCACATTTTTACAGAATGTCTACTTTTATTCCAGAATTATTTAAGGTTACATTTGATTTGCTGCTATGAAATCTATTTATATTGGTGACTACAGTAACTATCACAAATATTTGGCTTTTCTTTTGCGTGGAAGATCTCTGTTTCTAATCACCTATTTTCAATATGATCTTTTTTCTTTTATATTTATATTATCAGAATGAGGCCAATGAGTACTCTTCGGATTTTTCTCTATGTATACATCATGCTAAAAATTGAGCATTAAAATAGATTTCTGAGATGCATTTCACACAAAGATTAAAAAGTTAAAGGGAGGTTATCCACTGCCAAAAAACACATTAGGAAAAAAAAAGAAGCCTATTGCTTCATGTCATAAAGCATCTCAATTTCTTTCCTAAATTCTGTTTTGTTCCTTTGAAACAGTTTCATGATGTCTTTCATACTAGACTCTTCCTCGGACAACCCATGAGCCACTATATCATTTTATATGAAGTGCTTTGATTCACTGTAGAACAGTATACTGATGTCGTTTCATCTTCAGTGTCTTCAGTGGCTTGAGTTGTTCCTGTGTTAATTAATATAGGATTGTTACATGAAATATTTTAAAATTGGACGCTAAAACCTCTGAGGTTTTGTTGTTGTTGTTGTTTGTAAAGATATTTATAAGTGTATATATTCATTAAATCACTATTAATCATAAATTTATGAACAAAGAGACCAAGCCCCAGATAGCAAGGAGAAAAACCTATTTTATCTGTAAAATAATTAACTGGAGGAAGGAGTGTCTAGCATTCTATTGCATAGAATAACTGACAACATCATTAAGAGTACACCAGGTCTGCAATGCTCCTAAACATTACTTTCTACGGGATTCACATGCTAAACACCTGACTTCAGAACTAATAGAAGTTGGCTTGAGATGTTATTATATCAGAAACAAAATGTCACTGGTGTTTGAATACTCAAAGTGCATAAAAAGGGCTTTACTGAACAATAAAGAACAATGACTGGTTCCTCAGAGCGTGGTGTAGGTTATATGCTTTTAACATCATTTTCTAAATCATCCCTCCACCCCAAATTTTATATATATATGTATATGTGTATGTGTATCATATATATGTATATATCAGATTTTATATACATATATTTGTATATTTGTGTGTATACATATAACATCAGAGAATATATATATGCTTGTATGTATGTTATTTTCCATCATACTAACATATGATGCTGTTTTCTAAAATGTTATTGTAATGCTATTTTCCAAAAGCCTGTGTTGCATAATTCTTAACTATATAGTTCAATTTTTTTTTTTTTTTTTTTTTTTTTTTTTTTTTTTTTGTCCAGGCTAGAGTGAGTGCCGTGGCGTCAGCCTAGCTCACAGCAACCTCAAACTCCTGGGCTTGAGTGATCCTTCTGCCTCAGCCTCCCGAGTAGCTGGGACTACAGGCATGCGCCACCATGCCCGGCTAATTTTTTTTTATATATATATCAGTTGGCCAATTAATTTCTTTCTATTTATAGTAGAGACGGGGTCTCGCTCTTGCTCAGGCTGGTTTTGAACTCCTGACCTTGAGCAATCCGCCCGCCTCGGCCTCCCAAGAGCTAGGATTACAGGCGTGAGCCACAGCGCCCGGCCATATAGTTCAATTTTTAATGAAACCAAATTAGTAATTATGACGTTCTTATGTAGTCATATAATTATTATTCAGTTTAAAATACATTCATTAATTTTTTGTAAGATTATTGCTCAGGATAAACACAGAAACCACAAAAGCAGATTTATTTATTGTTTTCAGGTATAAAGTGTGGTGTGGTTTATATCAGGGATAGAAAATTTCGGCTTTGGAATGATCTGAGAAAGGGTTTCAAAAAGACAAAAGCTTGTAAGGTAGAACAGAAGTTAATGGGCACCTATTACAAATAATAATCAACTTGTTAATTGTTGTTTCTGTAAAAGGAGAAATTTCATGTAGGACTGCTTAAAAAGAAAAATTATAAAGCCAATAAAATACTGTTTTGATGGGAAGATATTTATTAACAGAATCTAGGACAGTCTAATTGGGAGTGTGATATTAATCCATGATGAATTAGCTACAAGGGATTAAAAAAATTCTTATGGAATTTATGAATGAATTTAGAAGCATCCC